GATATTTTTTTCAATTGATTTTTTCAGAGAGAATGGAAGGGAGTGGGAGAGAGCAAAACATTGATGTGAGAGAGACACATCGACTGGTTGCCTCCCAAACATGCCCCGACTGTGGCTGGGGATCGAGCCTGCAACAGAGGTACATGCCCTCAACCAGACTTAAACCCGAGACTTGTCAGTCCTCAGCCAACACTAACCACTTAGCCAAACCGTGTAGGGCTCTTCTTTAAATATATAATTTCATTGGTTTTCCATAACCATTTTCCCCCCTATATATTTTATTATTCTTAAAATTTTTTTATACTTTTATTTTTGGAATCTAAAGTTGACAATTCATAAATATGTATTTGAGAGTCTAATTGTTCCCTTACATTTTAATTCCTCTTAATCACATTATTTTGGGTTCCTAGACAGCATTTTTAAATCCTATTTTTAGTAAATAGGAGTGAAACTCTTCTATTTTAAGCATCTTGTAAAGACTGTTTCCATTGGAAGTGAGTTTATCTGTTTATCTTTTTGAGCCATTATTTTAAATTCCTAGTGTTAATGCTTTACTATGTTTTATTTCAGAAATGAGCAGTATTTAATTGTGAATATCTCTGTTACTCTGTGTCCCTGTTTGTTTGTTCTTTTCATCCCCAGAAACTGGCAGAACTAAAACAACAGACTATACCTTTGAAGAAAAAATTGGAGTCCTATTTAGATTTAATGCCGGTAATCATTTTTATGAATTAAAAAAAGAAGATGTCTTTTTTAGTACGCACTAAATGATCATGAATATAGTGAATCCATGCTTAAGGATTTAAAGTTCAAGCTGAATTTCAGTGGGTATACCCTCTGTAAGATTTTTGACTTTTGAAAGGATCATTGCATTTTTTTCCCCTTGAGCCCTAAATGAGGCAATATAACCTTTCCTTGTTTTGTTTTCCTTTAAAAGGATCCATCTCTTGCTCAGGTGAAAATTGAAGAAGCAAAGCGAGAATTAGTAAGTTCCATTTTTTTCTTCAGCTTTTAAAAAAGAAATAAAATAAATGCTGATAAGTTAAAGCTCCCTTCATCCTTCTTTCTTCCTCCTCAAAGCTAAACCATAAACCAGCGGTTCTCAACCTGTGGGTCGCAAACAATGAAAATACATCCTGCATATCAGATATTTACATTACGATTCATAACAGTGGCAAAATTACAGTTATAAAATAGTAACAGAAATAATTTTATGGTTGGGAGTCACCCCATGAGGAACTGTATTAAAGGGTCACGGCATTAGGAAGGTTGAGAACCAAAGTTGCTGTGTATCATTCTCATGCATCTTTTAATACTTTTAGCATATGTATATATGTTCTTTTCCACAAAAAAAATACATAGTGGTCTTTCATGTCTTTAAAATTCTTGCTTAGATTGTCTTTGGTGGAAAGGGTGGGCAAGTGA